AAAATTAATTTTCTACTTTCAGAAATGACGTTCACGTAGGCATAATATTAAATGTTTGGATAGAAAAAACGGTAAGCTCATTAAATGCCCCCTTGAAGCAAATGAAATAAAAATTAGTAGGCTGGGTAAAGTGTCATAATTTTTGACGCTTCTTTTCGCAATAAAGTTGACATTGATTTTTCATTATTAAAAAATTATTAGAGTAGGAGGTAAAATCTCATAAAAAATGGTAAATTTTACAATCGGTGAATTAGCTGACATGCATTTTACTTATGGGGTTGCCGACGGAGATCCATACGAAGCCAGGAGGATATACCAAGAGCGGTATCCAAATCGCGTACTACCCGATACGAGAACATTTTCTAGAATTCATAGACGTCTTCACGAAACCGGAAATTTAAAAGTAGACCACAGTGCTAAAGGAATCCCTGAAACAGTAAGAACACCGGAACTTGAAGAAGGAATTTTACATGAAATTGAGGAGAACCCCGAAACTAGCACGAGGAAAATCGCGGCTACATTTAATGTTTCACACGTACTTGTTTGGAAAATTCTTATCGAAAATTTATTATATACACATCACATTAAAAGACTCCAGGCATTACTCCCTAGAGATTTCCCGTTGCGCATTAATTTCTGTGAGTGGTTTCTTCAAAAGTGGAAAATCTGTTATTTGACAGGTACATTCTTTTTACCGATGAAGTTAGTTTTTCTCGAAACTCAATACAAAATTTCCATAATAACCATTTGTGAGCGGATGAAAACCCTTTTGCAATTGTTGAATCAAATCATCAAGAACAGTTTTCAATAAATGTTTGGGCTGGTATTATTGACAATTATTTGATAAGCCCATTTTTTATCCAAAGAAGATTAGATGGACAATCGTATTTACACTTTGTTGAAGAAGATCAGCCGCCAATGCTTGAAAACCTTCCTCATTTATTAAGAAACCAGATGTGGCTAATGCACGATGGTGCGCCTCCACATTTTAGCTTACGGGTGCGTGAATTTTTAAATCACAACTAGGATAGGCCGCGGAGGAACGCAGTCATGGCCGCCCAGATCTCCAGACCTTAATAGTTTAGACTACGTTTTCTGGGGTCATCTGAAAAGCTTAGTGTACGCAGTGCCGATTCAAACCGAAGAAGAGTTACGAAATCGTATAATAGTATGCTGCCAAAAATGTTTCCACGCATGGTGGTGTCTACAAAATGGCAACAAAATATCAAAATCAGTGTCAATGAACTTGGGGGAAAAAACTTTTTTTGGTTTTAATTTTTTTACGTGCAAATGGTGCGTCGTACGAGAGTAAGTCTAGGGACCGAATTTGCTGTAAAATAAATGGAGATTTTAAAAATAATTTTAGTTTTTAGAAAAAGCAGTGGCGTACCATTTTTTTCTTCAAAAATGTTTAGTTCAAACCTCGTACGGACGTCATTGGCAAAGATTTTTAAACATTTTTTACATCAAACAATGCTCCTTAATGATTAATAGGTGTGTACAAAATTTCATAAAAATATCTGGAGTGATAAGAAAATTATAATAAAAAAGTAAATTTTGTCTTAAAACTGTAACACCCTGTAGCTCAAAAATTAAGAGGTTTAGGACATATGTTGATATTAAGTTTTCTTCTTAAAATGACCCAAGGATTCACACCCTTAAATATCGGCATTCAATTAATAAACACCCTGTATAAAAAACGAACAAAATAATCTAAGCCCTCATCTAAAACATCGTTGAAATGAGTATATTTTAAAAATATAGATTGGCCTGTCGTTCTGTCAGCTTAAAATATTACAAAAAGTACCCCGCTTTTTTCAAGGCGCCGCGAATATTGATATTATTCATATAAAGAGGATAAACACATTTTCCAAAATTAGTTCTGAAAAATTTCGATAAAGTTCCAATTTAAATTTCCAATGTTTTCTTTTAATTATCGCCGTACTTTGTCTCCCGCGACACCCTTTCACGAAGTAAATTAGGTACTTCCTTATTCCTCTTCATTTTACTTAACGAGAAAGCCGACCTTTTTATTGCAGGTTACTTATCTTTGAAAGGGAATTAATCTTCTCCAAGCCTCGTCCTTTCCAAGGATAGTAACCGTTCAGTAATAGACGGGAATTGGCGATTAGGATTATCCCATCAACTCCTCTTAGCGCCGAAGTAGTATAGCATAAATTTAAACGTCGCCTTAAAAGTTTTCTCATCCTGTTCGAAATTATTTAGTTGCGATTATGACCAACTAGAATTTCTTTTTTAAAAAAATATATATTCTATTATTAGCTCTCATTTTTTTAACTCTATTTTAAAGGTATAAAAGTAATTCCAACGAATCCAAAAAAATTTTTCTAAAAAATCTTATGATATGGAATCAATGTTCTTTTATGTCAGAAATATAGGGATGCAAAAGATATAAAATCCCACAGATAAGACTCCTGACTGCTGATATTGCGGAAATATCTTATATTTTTGTGGTTCTAACATCACCCTCGACAAAGTAATAATAATAAGTAAAAAACAGGTACTAAAGAAAAATATTTTTGTTTCCACATTTTACTTAGCCTTTTTTAAGAAATTTAGTGAAACGAACAAATACTGTAGATAAAAAAGTAATTCATAGAACATATAGTCCACAGTACAGGCCCCCTCTGGAAAGTTGATTACCACATACTTTATAACTCCTGAGGGGCTTCTTTTTGACGAGTCTACCACATTTTTCCTCTGTGACTTTTCTCGATTCCTCCGCTTTTCCACTCGGAAAAGTCCAAAAACATGGCAATTTCCCGGGGTCTTGAAAACTCAAGACCACATCTTTTATTTTTAGCTTAAGTACTGGAAATTTTGTTGCAAATGCCGATTTAAATTTGTCCGACAGAAATTCCTCCGACATTGACGCGTCTACCGGTTGAAACATGCCAAAATAACAGGGTATTGAAAATCAATTACCACATAGGTAATTTTTAGTAAAATTAATTGTAAATAATTAATTCAGTCAAAAAGTATTGTGGTCCGACAAATTTCAAGCCGCGTTTTTTCAGTCCGACAGCTGGAAATCGGAATTTTCACGGGGTTTTATTTAAACTAATTTAAATTAATCGAAATCTTATTTTGGCACTAGTCTTCGGGGATTCTGCCTAAACCTTGACAAACATTTTTCAGATTTAATTTATGCTCTTCCTATTTCTATCATTGTCGACCGTAAGCAAGCATGTAAGGTTCTGACATGAATTAATAAAATGTTCTTTCTTATTAATTTTTTCATTATCAAATAACAAAAATATTTTTTAAAGTTTTATTATTATTAAAGCCTTAATAAAATTAAAAAATAATTGAAAAAATTAGACGCGTCAGGAGACATGAATCATTTTTAAAAAACCCGGCTGACTATGATATTTAAACGATAAAAAATAATTTTTTATAATAATAATTTCAAGTAAATAAAACAAAATATTTTTAATTTTAACAATAATTTAATATAAGTAATTTATATTTATGTCGGGACATGTGACAAAAAAAAACACATGCTTAAAATTAATATCATGTTTCCAATTTTTAATAATTTAAAATTATTTTATCTTAAATTAAATTTATAATTTTTTGTTTATTTTTAAGAAATAATTTTTTATTTTTTAAATGTAATCTTCAGTTGGAAATTTTTAAATAATTCATTTTTACTGGCGCAACATTTTTTTATATTTTTTGCTTCATTGAATGAACCAGGGAAGAGGGGGCAAGCGCTTCAGTCTGCCCCACCGTAGCTACGCCTATACAGTATAAGGTTATGTATGGAACAACATATCGAGTAAATGCCTCCACGGTTTTGCTGACACATTTAGACTTATCGAAATTTTCCATTACCGTTTTACATAAATGCGGCTGCATTTCATTGATACAGCGCTCAATCTGCTTCTTAAGGCATGGGTGGTCGTGAGCTTGTTGGTATAAACCTTAGATTTCAAAGAACCTCATAGATAAAAGTCCAACTCCGTTAAATCGCATGATCTGGGCTACTAATTCTGATCCCTAAAACGAGAAATTACACTACCAGGAAATGAATCATGCAGTAATTAAATTGTTTCCCAGACTGTAGTGCCTTCTTGTTGAAATCACTTGTCGTCTACATCCATGTCTTGCAATGTAGGTACAAAAAACTAGATCGTGATAGCGAGCACCATTAACGGTTATTGTTTGACCAGCCGCATTTTCGAAGAAGAATGGTCCGATGATGCCTCCAGTCCAAAATCCGCACCAAACGGTGACATTTTGTGAAGGCATTTATTTCTCACCAAGCACTCATGGATTTTCTGAACCGCAAATGCGACAATTTAGTCGATTAACGAAGACATCAAGATGAAAATGAGCCTAATCGCTGAAGATGATTTTCTTCGAAAAATCAGCATCCACTTGTTCCATAATCCATTCAACGAACTTTTTCGCTCTACGTGGTCAGTAGGCTTCAGTTCTTGAGTAAATTGAACTTTGTAAACATGAAGATGCAAATCTATCGTGAGAATTTGCTGTAAAGAACTTCTCTAACTGTCGGATTCTTGTCCATGGTGCCAAATTGATGTTTTTAAATATTTAGGTAAGAAATTTTTGGTTAATATATTTGATTTACACAACTTTCAGGAATTTTAATAGTACATCATAAAATAGAAATTTAAACCCAAAAGAAAAAAGAAAAAGTTATAAATGAGGACGGTATTTATAGTTTTTAAATTCTGACATTGTATTTCACACTGATATCAATTTTTTATGAGTAATTGATAAAACCTGTTCTTTACATAAACATGCAGAAGTATCTGCCTATATTTTTAGTTTAGTGAATGCTAACAACACATCCATAGTTAATACGTATTTTTAACACCTCAAAAGATATCCAAACACATTCGAATTCTACTGTAGCAGCGAAGTTTCAGAAATGTCTTTTAAATTTATCATTTCACAGTAGTATTCACACATTCGTGCTATCTCACGGTTCATTTTTCACACGTATTTACCTTTCTGAAGTCTCCCTGGATGACCATGGGCGGCGGGTGAGCTGTCCTTGCGTTGGGAGCCGGCGGCGCTCGCAGAGGTGACGCCGTGAGATCCAAAGCCTCGCGCCCATTATCCTGAAAAAAAAATGATTCCTTAGATACACATACTCGTCAAATAGTTAAAGAAAATATCCATCGTAAGTAAAAAGATTTAGTAGAATTCCCGACTCAGTATTTTATTTCATTTTTTATGTGTTGAATAAGGAACTTCCGCATGTTTTAAAGCCCAGAACAGTGTCCACAAATTACTTAAAGCTAAATTAACAACAAAAGTAATTAGTAATGCAGTAACATATAGATATATTTAAATTGTGACGAGCAAGACGTATCGAGATTACTAAGATACAAATTAAAATTTCTGCATATCCTGATTAAAAGGAAGTTTTGACTTATAGAATAATATATTAATTCTAATGGCTCGTTAACAGGGGATAATAAAACTGAAGAATCAAAAAAGTCATTCACAAGTTTGTAATAGTATATTACATACCCAGGTGGAAAGTTTCTTGTCGACAGAAAAAGAAACTTTTCACCGAGGTTTGTATACTATTTTATTTACAGCCATACCTTTTAAATATAAGTGACGGTTTTTGTAAAATAATAATTGCGTAAGAAATTAACTAAGTAAGATCCCTGTATTACCATATTGCATTTTTGATTGTCATCAAAAAAGTGTTTTCGAAGACAATAAGGGATTCAGAAGAAATTATTTGTACTCCTCCTCAACTGAGAGAATCCGCTAAAAGAGTCGTGCAAGGTACAATAAGATATTTTTGGAAACAAACATTTTCGTTATACAATGAATGTTGACATTTTCCTGAGTTAAAAGGATAGACCTTATAAACAAATATTTCACATACACTAAATCACACACAAAAATGTAAGAAAGCTTTTACCTCCATAACTTTTACTTTAAGGTTTGTTTACGGTATTTTGTATCGGTATACCCGTGTACCATTATATGTTTTACCGCACTAGCTTCATCTGCTTTATACACATCAGCGCGGTTGACCTCTCTTTCTAGGGCCAGTCCATAGTTTACTAGGTCAATGGTTAAAAGTCCACCCTGGTAAATGTCACTTTCCATCTGGATATATGTCAAAGTCAGAAATATGTCTCTTTCAAATTTACTGTAAGTTTGAAGTATCAACATTGCATATATGGTTGTAAATAAGCAAATATTGATTCTGCAAAAATTCTACGATTTTCTAATGAAGTTACAAAAATCTACTCATTATGAAGAGGATTACATACCGTTGAAGCAAAATTGATTACATTGTGAACATATGCTACAAATAAAGAATAATCACATTTTTACAAACTAAACATTTTGTTTTGTAAAGCAATGATGGATATCATCAATATAGGTCAAGAATAATAGTGGTCCTAAATGCAATCCTTGAGGAACATCTGACAGCAATATAAGGAACCGTGAAATGTAATGTGAAATCTAAAAACATAAGAAGTCCTTAGTGCACGCCAATTTCAGATAATTTAGAGATATGTATATTATGATCTAATTTATTGAATGTAAGACAAATTTAAGAGATGGGTGATAGGCATCATCGTCAACAAATTAACAACTATTTTTTATATAATGAAAATTAGAAATAGTTAAATCCAGTTTACAAAATTTTATGTGGGATGTAAATATACACAACATATATGAATTTTAATCATGTTGTCATCAACAAATGACACCACTTAGTATTAAATATTCTTGGAGGTTTGTTTTCATTGTGTAAATATATAAACAACTATTAGTCCTATAATAACCATGTGGTTTTACGGATAGTCCGTAACGTTTTAATTGTTGTTGCATATAAAATATACATTTTTAATATTGTAAAATAGTTTTTATATAGTGTTCTAAAATTTTTGTAACGTATTTAGCTAATCCAAAGCAATATGCTTTGCCTAATATTTTTTTCCGGTATTTAGTATCCATTAAATCCTATCGAATTGTCTATAGAAAGAAAAAATATCTAAGTATAATTTTATCTTAAAATTTGTTGATATCTTAATGGCAAATACTGCTATTAGTTCCTTAGTTTCTACCTGTTCATGCTCCAGTAGCAGGTTACAAAAATTTAAAGTTAAGAGAAAAGTGGTTGCTTTGGAGGAGTTAAATGCATGATTAAAATATTGACACTTATTTCTGGGACATCCTGTATATATAAATGTTGGATACATCCGGAGCCAAGTGGTAAAAAAACTACAACCGTATCGTGCTTGAACGTATTGCCGAAGAACAAAAACACTTTCTTTTAATATTAACAGAACCTTTTATATGAAATATTGTACTGGTAGAAATGGGTAGGAATATTAGTTCTGGCGCCACTGTATTTTATCATTAATCCGAACTGTCTGACCAGGAAATGATTTCATCGGTGGAAACGTTGGAGCGTATTGCAAACGTGTGCTTAGTCACATTATCCAGAAATAACAATTCCCCGGGGCAGTTATTCGGTGGAATGGAAGTCGTATTGCAATATAATACCCTGTTTTCCCACTAAAACCACATTGTGAGAGGTATATACATCTTATTTCGAACTGACATTTTCCTTTCAGTCACTATCCTGTTTCATACTAACTCTAATACAATACAAAATACACCGAAAAGGTGACATAAAAAAATCATAGTAAGTTATCTGTTTTCAATATGATAATGATTTTTTCTCATGATTGTTACATAATTCCATAACACTTTCTGATGGATTAAATTTTATGTCGGTTTATAATAAAAATTCTCAAAACATTTTTGTCTCCATTTTTCGCGTATAAACGTCATGGAAAATGTAATAAATAATAACAAAATAGATATTTAAGAATAACTTCAACAATCGGTTACATAATATTGAGATTTTCAAAGTTGTTACGACACGGTCGCACAACTTTTTTTTCCAAAATTCACGGATGTTTCGAAATTCTTCTCGAAGCTCCTCAGACCCTACGAACGATCTTCTATCATGCAAAAAGCCGTTCAACACAATGCCTGAGACATCCAGACGGCCGCCGCACCATCCATTGCAAAAATCACCGATCTTTCCGATAAATTCACCGACCTTCCGCAAGACCCCCGGGTAAGAACTAAATCTGTTTAGTTTCAGTTGACTAACTACAGCCGAGCGACCAGACCAGGCAAAAATGTAAACGTCACGAGCCGAGACGAGGTGACTGCTGAATCAGACCATGCAGCAACCGTTCTACCGGGATCCACCCTGCCGGCGATTGAATGCACACCATCAGCGGTAATTGCAGCCTATCAGCAAGAGCTGAAAAATACCCAATCTGGAATCTGGAATTTTGAGAGGGTAGCTTAAAAAGCTACAGTACTTAGGCTCCATTGGGCCCCTTGTACTTCCTCCCATTAGGAGATTAATCCACCTGAACCGCTAACCAACCTCAAAAATACCCAAACCTCGAGCTCTAACGCTCTCAGTCAGCTCCACACTGAATCAAGCTTCCTAAAAACTTCAGTACCGGCCCTCCGAGGAGTCCGTGCATAGTAAATAAACCATAGTGAACCAAATACAGTGATTTTCAAACACTAGGGTATCAGACCAGAACCAAGTGCATACAGGGTAACACAAAAGCCCAAACCACGTTTCCAAGTCTCCTAAGTTGGAAACCAAATTAGTGAAGTGCTCCAACAGCCGATTAGATCGCAATACACTCCTACAGATAGATTGTGGAATCTCCACCTGTGCTCATTGAACTCAGAACGATAGCGGAAGATCGGAAATCTCACTTTCCCTCGATGATGGTTGCAGAGCCGTACGTCAAAGGGGAGAGGAACGAGATGCCAGGGAACACTCCAGCACTCGAGCAGGCGTCTAACTGACACCAGAGGCGAAGAGGAACTCTGGACACCTCTATCCTTCCCGTCCCATCATACGAGTCTACGACCCGATGATGATGATCAGTGGAGAGGCTAGCAGGTCTCCATAAACAGGACCGAACCAAGAGGAGGCGCAACCCCGTCGTGGCGCCCAACGTGGAACCACCAGCGGGGATGGGCAACCGGGGACCTTAATCCTGGCAGAGACCAATAGCGTTCCGCGACAATAAACATAATAATATTTCCGTGTTGCAGCCTGAGAATAATGCCTTAAATTAATTGTCATATTATCGTTTTTATGCCCGAAAATAGTGCGCCTATGAATCTGCCGTAACCCGACAAATGCACTCTCTTTCCACAGTCCTATTTCACTAATATAATTGTCCAATATTTAGATTTTTACTAGTATGAGCTTAAACTCAAATATCACCTACTTTTTCAATCCATGCCACGAAGTCACCCGTATATAATTCAAAAAGCTGCAAGAACACTACATGTGTAGGGCCATTTGACCTGTCACCCAAACTCCCAGACTGGTCGAGAATCAAGATATTCACTGATCTTCCGAAGATTTCTACGACGCCGAAGACCAAACAGAACAATGACTACAGAGCCCGATACTGTTACCAAAGCAGCGCGCCAAAGACCGCTACAGACCACCTAGAAAATCGCTGATATGTATTTCTATTTTGGAAATGACCTTGAAATTCACAAAAACCGCTCAATGGCCACCAAACACAACATCCAACGATGCGAGATATCTGAAACCAAAACCTGAGCTACCTCCGTCGACGGATCAAGATCGCACCGGGAAAAGCAGAAGTCCCTGCGCTCCAAAAGCGTCCGAAATTACAGTCCACAATAGGAATCAGGCGTACGATAGAATGTGGATACGCATTATACAATTCTCTATTGCATGTAACCAATATTATACAGAAAAATATCCACAGACTTTTTGTATCTAATACAAATTGTTCAAAATTGTTGCGAGACTCAGATCTAGATCCTATATTTAGCATTTCAATAGCAGAGGCTTCACTACAGTACTGCGGCCGATACACAAATGTAATTAACCTATAAAACTGTAACTTAACGTTACACCCTGTACAATAGTATGTACTGTACATATATACTTGGTCGCAAGATATACGGCATAAAGCCAAACCAAACTAAATAACGGCCGCGTTAATCACGACCACAAAAAAAATTGACATTTAACCCACTTCTCCGCCAT